TGCACATCACTAGTGCACCACTGTCCACCTGATCTCAATAATTGGCAGTGGAAAAATAATAACATAAATGGTTGTTATGTATTTTATTCACTGAAAATTACAAATTCAAGGGTATCCACAATCAGAAAATCAATCCTATTGGCTCATTTGTTCCGTGTCATTCTCTATTGCTGTTATACATATAATAATGATCCATAGACAAAAGTGAGACATTCCATTCAAAATAATCACTTAGCTTATATTTCGGTATGGCGTATCACGGAATTTTCACTGCAATACTCAAGGCACCATCGACTGTTTTACGCTCAAATATCCGCCTTATTCTAATTTTTGCATTCTTGCATTAACAAGAGCAATATATCTCCATTCTCTTATTATAAATATCCTGGGCCATTAGTTTCGAACCCGATTCTAATGACATGGCGCTATAAATAGCTGTCCAATCGATTTACATCCATGAGATTGTGACGTCACTTCCGAAACGAAAGTTCGGTGGCGAATGGGTGCAGGGTATTTATCCATTCGTGACCAACTCGTGTTCTTGCAGGTTACGGAAAGGGGCGAGGGGTGACGAATGGGTATTTATCACAACAGAATGGCTATTCGGTTTTTGCTGAAAATCTCATCGAACAATATTTGATCCTCCTTAAAGTTGAATTATTTATGGTTCGAGTGAAATTAAGTCAATGAGTTTTGCGTCATACTCGGCAGTATTGCAACTATATATTGGCGATGTGGAAATAATCAAGTACAGCTCAGGTAAACCAGTGGTTGATGTCATGAGCAACGAGCTAGGTACTTGAGGTACGATGACACAATCAGCTAGCCACGCATTGCAACCATCCGGTGCACAGTTTATTTGATTTTTTGACATTGGGTGCGGGGGATACCGTATTTCTTCTATTAGACCCCTTTTCCAATACACGTCGGCCCTTCATTGACACCGGGTCATACCCTCTGTCCAAACAAAAGAGGCTGGGTCTATTATCTGATTAAATTAACTCCTTTCTCAAACTCACTGCATGTCCCTTCACTAAATTATGACCGTTTTCTGCAAATACACCCTTTGTATGACTATACAATCTGGGATTCGGTAAGGTAGTTTGCATTAAACAGAGTAGACGCCGGGTGAACGGCTTGCGCGAAATTAACTGACGCCAGTGCGTCTAGTAGAAGTAATACGGTACATATTCTGTTCCGGAGTCCTCATGGGGGAGAGGATTTTGATGTGTAAAGGTCAATTGCCTCGAGCACTATTTGATTGCAACACAGACACAGATTAGAGTAGATCTATCCTAACATGTCGTCTAGCATCAGTATCAAAACATACCTCAACTGACGGGCAAAAGAAAGTATACACTTGAAAATTTGAATGACCAAAATATTACAAACGTTATCAAAACGTTCCTAGGCTGATAACAGTCGCCGAAATACTGCAAACTTGAGGCTTGAACTACGATACCCGTGTCAAATACATTACCATCGACTAACCATTTCTTGTTTGTTTCATTTTTTAGACACCTTCCAACATGGGTGTGTACTTTCTTTTGCCCGGCAGTTTATGTAGTAGCTATGGAATCGTTGAAGGGTCATGATCGTATTGTCGCACGTTGAATAATTTTGACACTTAAGCATTTTTTTTTTAAGGGCGACAATGTTTCTTCTAGGATTCCATAAGCAGCAGTAGTTTAACTCTAACGTTATTACTGACTCAAGGCTGTGACCAGTTGTAAGGCGTTGATCATGTTAGACGGCGAGGGGGTTAAGCTTTACGCTACTATCCACATGATTTAGGTTATACAGTGCGTGCCAGCATCATATTGCAGGATGATGAAGTGATGCAGCTCTCAGACGTTAATTTTTTATTGTTTGTTGTTTAACACCGCACTCAGCAATATTCCAGCTTTATGACGGCGGTCTGTAAATAATCGAGTCTGGACCAGACAATCCAGTGATTGATATCATGAGCATCGATCCACGCAATTGGGATATGATTACATGCACTAACCAATTCAGCGAGCCTGACCACCCGATCAGACGTTAATCACAGATTTGTTGTTGACAAACCAAGGGTAAGGACAGGCGAATCTAGGATTCGAACTAGCGGATTCTGGCACGGCAAGCACGCGTTGGCACAAACTACTGGCCACTCGAGTAAGATAACATATATTCAGTGAGTTAAGGGGTCGTTGTGCATACCTTTAAAGAGGAGAGTATAAAATACATTTTTTTTCTAATAATGTTTTTTTTTCAAATTTGGCAAGATTGGGCCTTTAGTTTATACACAATTTGCTGACTATACAGGAATTGTATTGTCCACTGGGTTAAATCATTTAAGAAATTTGTAGTAGTTTTTCAGAGGAATTGACTAAATATGACACGTCGCTTGTCAACAATGACAATGATATTGTGACCTTTAAAAGGAGTTCTCTCACTGGCACGTGTTTAAATGAGCGAGTGAGTTGTGTTTAACGCAGCTTTTAACAGTATTCCAGTTATATCAGGGCGTGTCAGCTTAATGTGGGAGGAAGGCCCGAAGTAATGCAGGTCTCAGACGTTTATCACTTCGGTGAAACTCACGAGCACGGATATGGTGCTGACAAACCTAGAAACATAATCAGGTCGAACCTGGATTCGAACCCACAATCATAGGTTTCTGGCTTGCCCAAGGGACGCAACTCTGTACAGCGAATCGCGGCGCCTAAGACCACTGGGCCACCCGTGCCCGTGTTTAAATGAAAAATATGTGAGTGGCGGGTGCTGCCGCCAGAGCAGGGGATGCTCTTTTCTCTAACGCTTGGTGTCATCACTGATTCTTCTTCACTACTTTGACATTTACGCACTATGTAATCCGTTGAGGCAGATTTTCGAGACTGATTGTTCTCCGGCATTGATGTTTTCAATTTCATCGGAACATTTCACCGCCCATGACGTAAAGCGGGGTTATGCTCGGCAGTTCAATTACCGTATTCGACGTAATAAGCGCTCAGGGCGCTCTCAAAATTAGAAATAGGGGGCTCCTATAAGAATATTATTTTGGTGAAAAAAAACAGTTGAAAGAACAATTTCGTGGTTTATGCTGACAGCCTGAAATGTTTATGTACGACAGATATATGTTTCTAGAATTTTATGTCCATAATTAACGATGCATACAACACACGAGTGCGTATTGTCCGCGAATAAATAAGGCTTGTGAACATTGATCAATCGGAAGGGGTGCTAATTGGGATTGTTCACTAGCCAATATATTAGCAAATACCGCCGTCGGCGCTTATTAGAGCGGGGCGCTTATTACGTCGAATACGGTATTTGTTCAAGTTGTGCAAATACCACCTTGCCTGTCTGCTTACCACCAGTTTCGTCTATCCAAACAGCTCCATACATGACACATTACATTAGACCTAAATCAGGCAACTTGAAATGCAGTATAGCATGTTTTAAAGGACGCCATCGAACGATACCCAGAGACTGGAAGACCTACAGTAACACGTGACCTAAATACAGAAATTCTGCACACGTTACAGTGTTATAACAACCAATTAAAACTTATACGTAGAAGAAAACGTGCCTGAAAAATACTGGGAAAATGTAAGATTTTGTTTTGAATAAAACATTGAGCGCTCGATGATACCATTACGGTTACTGGCGTATGCGTTTGAATGTCAGAGAACCACACAACAACAGGTACACGTACTCCAGTCCAGCTGGCCACGCCCTTGAATATATATACCTGATATCATCGCCAGTACTTTGTACTTGAAGACCTTTCGTTGTTTCATGTTCATTGATATAGAAGTTGTTGCCTTAACGAATGTGGTCTTACGCAGTTTTTAGAAATTCCAGCAATATCAAAGGACACCTGAAAAGGGCTTCACACACTGTACCCATGTTGGGAATCGAACCCGGGTCTTCGGCCTCACGAGGAACGCTTTAACCACTAGGCTACCACCGCTCCTGTTGCCTTAAAGGTGGAATGCGTATATTATAAATAATAACACAAGATAATGTTTACATGCATTCACTGAGGCCAGGAAAAGAAAGTTTGGTAAATAACGAACAGACCATGGGGCTTTTGGACTACTGGTATTAATATACCGCTGGGCAATATGCCTAGTATATCCAAGCTACCCGTTGTCGTCTTCATTATTCGTTTTGTAGGTATATTAATATTCCATTGGATGCCATTTGCAGATAATCAACAGGGTTTGTGCTTTTCAAACACACTTTGTGACTTCTCAGTGAAAATGTTCAAGTTTGACATGTATAAAAATAGAGCCATTGGCACTGTAGCTCGACTGACGCAAAGATACGGGTACAAAACACACGATGAGACGAAAAGAACAGGCTGATAAGGGCCCTTTCTTGGCCCACGAGACCTGCATATTTTACATTGAGCAAGACTAGAAATTGTTACTAGATGTGTTCATCAATCTCATTAAAATAGATCTTAGTCCTCGCTATCGCTAAACAAAGATCTGAGGCCATCTTATTACGGGTCACGTCAGAACGACCTTTCATCCAACCAATCAGAACGTCGCTTACCAGATCATGAAAGTGACAGACAGAATGTGTTTTCTAATCGTGCAACCTCGAAATATTTACAGAGGGTATTCCGAACGACAGTTACAGGTTTTATGATTATATCCATACAATCTAGGCCATCTGTAAGCCATTCCAGAATGTTCTTTGTATCAGTTTTAATTTTTTTAATAGAGAATACGTCAAAATATGTTTCGAAGCGTAGTCCCCAGTTTGAAACTAGTGTCGTAAAGCTCGAGAAAACTGCCTTCTGATTGGCAAATGTCGATTTCTTGTCAGTCATTGATCGGTCAAAGTTCGCGAAAGGTCGTTCTGTTTAGCAGTAGGGAAAACTAAGATCTGATTTTAATGAGATTGATATGTTCATATGAATTAGAACTAGACTATTTTCATTTCAATTGCATGTTTGTGACTTATGACATGACTGAATGCATTTGTAAGGATAAAATGAATGTGCCGGGGAGGCTGAATTTGGAGGTTTTAATGAAGCATGAATAATCTTTGGTTGATTTCTTCATAGATGCAAATAAATACATTAAAAACATATGTTAAAACATTCATCGCTTACACTGTCTCCCTAACTTCGAAAATCTGCCCTTTTCACTCACTTTAGCCACATAAGAAGTCCAAACTTTGCAAGTGTAAGAAATGAGTGAGTGAGTATGGTTTTACGCCGCTTTTAGCCATATTCCAGCAATATCACGGCGGGGGCCACCAGGAATGGGCTTCACACATTGTACCTATGTCGGGAATCGAACCCGAGTATTCGGCGTAACGAGCGAACGCTTTAACCACTAGGCTATCCCACTGCGCTGTAAGAAAGAAAAAAAAGCTGGATGTCAGCAATTTGAACATGTCTAATTTTTTATACCATTATGTCATGCTTTTTCGCAAGTTATATAGGCACCACAATTACAATCTGAAAAAGATTGCTTCCCCTTAGATCCAACCCCACCCCTACCCCCAAATTTGTCTAAGAGAAGAAATTGAAAAAGTAAAAATTATGTTCGAAAACGAACGACTCGCCACAACATAAATTCATTAATTCACCAAGCCATTCTGGTCAGGTGAGTTTGAATCTCTTGCAGTCTCATTTTGGGTTTCTATGTCCTCGGGAATGTATCACAGTTGATTTAACGAGTTCCTTTGATATATCACCCACAGTTCAAAGGGTTCGTGGATCACGTAACGAGTCGGGTAAACTGGAATGACTGTAATCCATGTTAATTGCCTGAATACAACAGTACATATCGATGAAAGAGCAATATATTATGTATTTGCTTCTTTTGCGACGACTTTATCACCATCGTTTATCGGAAAATCCCTAAAACCACACGAAGAGATTAAAGTTGTGTCCCTTGACACGAATTTACTTCCTGTAGTTGTCTCCCATTGTTGCACAACACGCTCCATGACAGCGCGTGACACCTTCGTCATCCTCCATGTATAGTACTTCCGCCAATGGATAACGCTGTGAGGAGCTTGGTCAGGACACTGACGTGTTTTGGTGGGTGTCCAAATCTAACCAAAAGACTCCTGATTTGTCCCTGCCCCTCGTGCGGGTCTGTGGGGCTTGGGGCTGACGGCGGGGGTGGAAGGAAAACTGAGGGCGGAGCTTGAACGCCGCGTCTGTGAAAATAAGATAATAAAAATTAAATATGATACTCATTAATCACAAATAATGCATTTAACAAACAGACAATTGTACTCGAGATTTGTTGTTGTTTACTTGTTCGTGGGAACATTGGGGTCTAGGAGGCTGCTATCGCTAAACAAAGATCTGAGGCCATCCCATTACGGGTCACGTCAGAACGACCTTTCATCCAACCAATCAGAGCGTCGCTTACCAGATCGTGAAAGTGACAGTCGGAATGTGTTTTCTGATCATGCAACCAAGAAATATTTAAAACGGGGTATTCCGAATGACAGTTTCGGGTTTTATGAGTATATCCATACAATCTAGGCCATCTATAAGCCATTCCAGAATGTCCTTCTTATCAGTTTTAACATTTTTAATCGAGAATACGTCAAAATATGTTTCGAAAGTAGTCGCCAGTTTGAAACTAGTGTCGTATAGCTCGAGAAAGCTGCCTTCTGATTGGCTAATGTCGATTTCTTGTCAGTCATTTCATTGGTCGGTCAAAATTAACGAAAGGTCGTTCTGACGTGACCCGTAATGGGATGTCCTCAGATCTTCGTTTAGCGGTAGCGAAAACTAAGATCTGGTTTTAATAAGATTGATTATGGAAAGTTGTGTCGCTTTTGTTTACAAGGTCAAGGCCGCGTGCTATCCCCATAGGTATTATCGATGCATATCAACGACCATACTCTAGGAATTAAAATACCCTCGGAACCATTGTATGTGCTCATTAGAGAAACTGACACCAGTACCCACGTCTTTCTTCTTATCAGCAATTGTATATAAAAAAACTGTTATATATATTTTCATGGGCGGTGGGGTAGCCTTGTGGTTATACGTTCGCTGGAATGCCGAAGACCCGGGTTCGATTCCCACATGGGCTTCACACACCATTTCTGGTGTCGTCCGCCATGATATGCTGGAATATTGCTGAAAGTGTAAACCTATACTCACTCACTTATTTACATAACACTATGTTCAGTTTGGTCTTTCTTAGAACAGGTAACTTCACACGCCTCAACAAGAACACGTACATCCGTCGTATGTGTCTAATTTATAATGCATCACTTCAACTTTAAAACACCGAGATCAACACAGCGAATACTAGAGACTATTCCGTGCTCAAACTGATCATATTATTCCAACACGCAATGCTGCTTCAAACAATTTAAAGTGTGCTCCAAATGGCTTTAAACCTATTAACCCAATGATCTTTCTCTATTATCACAAGTTAATAGTTTAAACACGTTGTTACCGTAATAGAAATATATACAACTCAAATTTTGATAGGGATATCAGGGCCCGTAGGCACAAAACGATCTTAGTGCTAAGAGTATTGTAAGCCTATGTTAAAGTATGGGAGTTAAGATCATCTTAGCGCTAAGATCGCTTTGTGCACGTGGGCCCAGATATGCCATTATAGTAAAATATTCACTTGACAATCATAATCAATTTTGTGCATTATAGAAAGATAAAAAGTCCCTATCAAAAGCGGAGTAGTATATGCACGTTTTTTCGCAGTCTATGTGTTCTTGTGATCACTTCGTATTCATATTTACCAAATAATTCAATAAGAATACACGTATAGTGATGGCGACACTGATTGAAATCTACACCTCGCTGGTTTCATTTGATACAGTTGAGATTGGTAGGGTTCAGCCATTACAAAACACAGGTAGTTCATTCAGGTGGCACTAATCAAATGACGGACGTTGACATATTCCCCGTGTAGAGTGAGTTACGTTGATTGCATGTATTTTGCAACGCTGTGGACAACATGTTATGTAGATTTTTAAAAATAACTATAATTTGTTTGTTTATCCAAAGCATCTTCACGGTTTTGCTTAACTATGTATTCATGCAAATAAAATATGACAGCTTTACCAAAGCTTATTGAAATAATCTCCATTAAAATGATAGATGATGTGCATATTGTTATATTATAAACCTCAGTGAGCTACTTCTGAATACACAGAATATTGGTGGATATCTATTATTTCTAAAGTTGAAAATGATTCGGTTTTTTTAAATCGCAAAATATTCAGAGACACTCTTCTGTCACCTACACCTTGTGGGAGCCAGACATGCCGCAAGCTGTATTTAAATAACAGTATTCTTACAGAAGGAACCAAGTTTACGTCCCCTGCCTCGGCTAGTGTTTTCAGCAAATCATAACAATTTCTGGAGTATCTTGTTAATGGTTGTCTGATGTCCACTCTACTGTGGGCATTTATGAAGGTGTCCTCCCCATTGGCCTACGTCCCATTTGGCCTACGCTTTTAGAGGATTTAATTACAGTAAGTAATCGGTTGGTTGATCACTCACTAATTACCCGTCTCCCCAAGAGTGATAAAAATGAACCAGTCCAACAACAGAGAAATACAAGCTAAGAGAATCTTTTTAATGTAATTTAATAAGGATTGCTACTGCATCTGCTAATGCCAAGGAAGATATTTCTCCTTGCTGGTGTCTGTCTCGGAGTCTGGGCAGCTGACCATCGAGGTACACATATTTTCTCTTCAGCTTGGCACCATGGGCCAGCTGGGCTAGATATCTGGTGTGGCTAGCTTCAAGTGATTTCAAGACATCCAGGAGGGTGAGCATTGTTGGATGGGCAGAGTTCATCTTGGCATTCAAGTGGCTGTGTCAACCTTCCAGATGATTATTAGTTCTTGGACCAACATTGTCATGGTGACTCCGTATTGCAACACCAAATCTAGCATCATCCCAAACACAGTTTGACACGACATAATCATTGAACAGCTGACATGCAGGACTCTCAACCTTAGCCTGTTCTAAAGCTTCAGTAGCTTCGAACCATACGTCCTGAACATTCAAAGTCTACTTATATTGTCTCCGGGTCGACCACCTCTCTGTGACTGAACATACTGAAGAAGCCTGTGTGAAATAACAAGAGCTAATTAAGCTCAAACCAAACCATTTTTGTCAATAGGGGTGAAGGTTGTTTAAAATAATCCGTGGTAGGCCAAATGGAAAAGGTCATTTCTGTTCCTTTAGGTCATATGGGACGTAGGCCAAATGGGACGTAGGCCAATAGGGGATGCACCTTTATGAACAGTAGGAAGCGACCACATTCTGCTTGTACGACTTCACTTTCAGTTTTTTAACCTGTGTGCAATAGAAATTCGCACGTTGGGTAGATTTTAAAAAATAATTATGATTTGTTTATTTATCCAAAGCATCTGCTTGGTTTTTGCATAACAATGTATTCATGCAAATAAAATATGACAGCTTATGAAATAATCTCCATTAAAATTTATGTGCATATTGTTATATTATAAACGTCAGTGAGCTACTTCTGAATACACAGAATATTGGTGGATATCTATCATTTCTAAAGTTGAAAATGATTCGTTTTGACAAAATAATGACAAGGTTTAAAAGATTCTTGTCTTTTTTGTTTAGATTGAATGTTATATACATTAAATTCTGTGATCAATATTGATTTTGTATAATACAACAAGCGAGGAAATATATATAGTTAGAAATTACAAGAGGGAAAGGTGGTCCACTGGTCTGAAGCACCATAATGAACTGTGACAATCGGTGTCGGGTAGGAGTGCCAGAAACCTATGGTCGTGGGTTCGAGTCCAAGACTCGACAAGACCATGTTTCCTGCTGTTTCAGCACCATTGCCCTGCTCGTGGACGTCTGAGATCTGCGGCAAGCTGACAGGCTGTGATATGTTCAAATAAATAAAAGCGACAAAACCCTTTCCACATTCCTAAGAAATCTCCGACAAAAGCAGAGTCGATTGTACGATTGTGATTATAACATGTTTATGTTTATGACTCACTATCAAATAGTGAGGACACCTGATGTTCGCGGAAAGGTGAGCCTATTATAGCTACTGTACATTAAACCAAACTCACTCAGTGTTGGGAGGGACGAGCTCTGTGCCTTGACAATGTAATCGAAGTGAGGATTGTGAGAATATGTGGGAAATACCCACCTGTGCATAAAATGTACTTGTCCGACATTGCCGAGGTCAGATTCTATTGAGGGAGTCATCATTATTTGAAAACTGGTAAATATTTTTAAAGCTTGTACAATTTATCGCCATCCTTAAAAGAGGCTGTACATAATGTTGATACCTCATATAAGAAATAAACGACGTGTTGGAGTTTTTTTTATCGTACAATAAAACCCTGCAGGTAGAAAAAAACACTCAGGGCTGCGCACCTCATGGTTTATTCTGCCTGAGTTGTTTTATTGAACGAGAAACAACTTCCACTCGTCGTTTATTTCTTAAATATGGCCAAAAGGCCAATCATATACACAATGACATTGTTCAAGTTACAGGCCAACCTTGAACATGAATTTCATAACGGATTTTATTGGCTTCTTGGCCCTCATGAGAAATATGCGGCACAATAACACGGAAATGTTAATAACATGTTCGCATTTTCGGTTTGGGGTATAGAGAGAGAGAGAGAGAGAGATTCTTTATTTCCTCCAGATGCGATTCCGAAGATTACAATGAATATATATTCAATTACACGCAGTTAACACAATAAAAAAAGGCACAACATATTTACAATTACACACAGTTTATCAAATTCAGATACCTAAATGATGACAGATTTTCACTAGAAGATATATATCAGAAGATGCTTAGTTTGTACAGATACGAGGAGAACTGAAGTATAATAGTTTCCCAGGTGTGTTGATCCAGATTGTGAGTAAATTTTGTTTCAGCCCCAAATAAGACTGATAACATATCTGTTTCATCTTGCATTTCAAAATCAACATATTTTTGAACGTCAAGTACGTCAATGAGAGAAGAGAAAAACGCATTTCTTTCTGATATCAGCGCTTCACAATGTAAAATAACGTGGCTGTCATAGTCAAAAGCATGCCTATTACAGAGCATGCACTCTTTCGAAAGTTTACTACGTGATGAGACTTTCACACAGAGTTGTAAAGCAGGTCGATATTCCGGGTACAGAAAAGCTAATTGCCAAAGTAC